ACTTGTTTACCTCTTCTATAATATGTTGCGCTGTAATCGTAGCAGAACGGGTCCGCCTGCAACAACGCTTCATTGGCTCAATCTTGCACGCTACACTACAACATAGTTTGACTGACCACGTACCGTACGAGGCGGAGAGATGGCACCCCCCCCGAGACCGGCCTTCAAAGCTCGATTACTCCACACCCAAGCATTGTCTGTGCAGTACCGTACACCGTACCGTGGTATTCCGTAAGAGGCGGAGATATGGCATCCCCACCCCCCCCTAGACCGACCTTCAAAGCTCGACTGTTCCACAAACAAGTGGGCGCGGAAAGAACCCGATACGTGTATGGAAACAAAGACCTCAACGAGATATTTCCAGAACTACCACTGTTGGTGTTAGCGCAATCTTGGTTGTGGAGCAATCGAGTTTTCAAAGTCGATCTAGGAGGGGGTGCCATCTCTCCGCCTCTTACGGAATACCACGGTACGTTTTACGGTACGGTACAGACAATCTTGGATGTGGAGAAAATCGAGCTTTGAAAGTCGGTCTAGGGGGGTGCCATCTCTCCGCCTTTTACACGGTACTACATCGCACAGTAGTAGGGCGTCCCCTCATCTCATCCCTAGAGGTTAGGATTTATGATCGCTTGTCATGGACCAAACACGCGCGTCCTCGCCCTGTGCTTCGACTCGACGCATCTGGCGAGTGGTTCGTTCTCTCTCGCGTGCTTGCGGAGTGTGTGCCTTCGAGAGCCGACTTGCAAGGCATGTCGGGATGAATATCCGTGCAATGTTTCAAAACTTGCCGGTTCCAAGGGGAACAACGAAAAGCTATGTAGTTCGAGGGAAGAAGCCGGCCTTTCAGAATGGAAAGCTAAGTAGCTCAAGGAGAAGCCGGTATGTCAGAATGAAAAGCTATGTAGTTCTAGGGAAGAAGCTGGCATGTCAGAATAAAAAGCTATGAACCTCGTAGGAAAGAAGCCGGTAAATTTTTATCAGGATGAAAAGCTATAAGCTCCAGGGACGAAACCGGTTTATCAGAATGAAGGGTGTGGGGTTCGGTGGTTCGGCAAACGAAGGTTCTACGGCACAGGGATGCGTCACGTGCTCACTACCCGCACTTGACCGACAGCTTCGCACCGTAATTGCCTTGTATGACAACAGAAATCAACAGGCGAAGGCTCGGTTGCTGAAAACACAGCGTCTGTAGTGTTGCGCTGTGTACCCTCTGGTCTTGGGGGATACAGCCTAATGTCGGATGCTACGGTAGTGGTGCTGATATCCTCTCGGACGAATGCTTCGTGCGCTTCGTAACCTGAGAAAAAATATGAGCATGCAATGAATTGTAAAGTCCCCTTTGCTTTCCGACACATAACAAGTACGGGGGATGACGGAGCCCTGTTGCTACCTTTTCGGCTCGTATGCATACTGTGCAACAACCCATATTTTTTGCCGGTGGTCTGGTGGCTTCTAACTGGGGTGACGCACGTGACCCCCCACACACACCTCCCCCCAGGGCCCCACAGATAGCGATAGCATGAGGAATCTCTGAACAATAATGTTCAAGTCTCGCGAAGACTTTAGACGTCGAGGCGTGTCCAACCTTACGACGAGTACAACTAACGCACAACGTAAAATAACCCTTTCATACGCGCCCAACACTACGGCGAGAAATACTAACGCACACCGTTACGAAACCGTTTCGTGTGCTGTCCGCAGAGGAATTTATTACCTGGTTGGTGGCAGATGTGTCCGTGATGAAGGCGGAACCTTGCGACAGGATTCTTCTCTGTCGGGGAGAAGGCGGCGCATCCTCGTGCTCGGCCCTCTGGGCGAGGTGGTCTGACAAGGCCGCCTTCAGCGATCCCGTGTCCTGAGGGAGAGCAAGCAAGCGCGCCCGGGCGGTGGGTAGTGCGGTGATGGGTCTTAGCGAAGCAAACGATTGACCTAGAAATAGTCGGATACCATACAGGAGGACGTCAGAATAACGGTGCTCGTGCAGAAGTAGGTGGCATATTTGGAAGCATCGTCGGCAGTATGGTCCGACAAAGCCGCTTGGCAACCCAGATCCCGATATAAACGATTTGTCTACACAACAATCGACGGGTGGGTGTGGTGGGTGGGGATGGAGATACCGGAGATCTGGTTCCTGCAGGCATGCCCGCTTACGAGACATCTTGCCATTTCCCTCGAGCAAAATGCCGGCGCTACGGCAGGAGTGCGCCGTTAGCAAAATGGCAGCCGGGTGCGCGGAGATTCGACACAAAATAGCATCAAGGCAACGTTTGGCTGATTCGACAGGCACGTCCAGCGTTGCGCCTGTCTTCGTGAGCGCAGCCTTATCGTTGTGGTCTGGCGCTAATAAATCTCTGCCGTTCGAATGATGGTCTGTCCAACAAGCAACATCACGGATCCTCAGTGTGTTGGAACAAACAGGCGTTGTTCCCCCCCCCGCTCACCGTGGGAAGGTGGTACCCGTAGGTCTCGAGCAAGGAAGCGAGTTGCCCGAGTATTCTCTTTTGTTCGTAGGCTTGCTGCTTGTAGTACCTCCAGTTGCCGTCGTGATCGCTGGCGTCCTGCGAAAGAAAAACACGTGGGTAATAACGAAACAGGCACCATCGCGTGGAGGTGTTTAGGGACGGGGGCGGGCGGGGCGCATCGCTGGTGCTCCAGGTCCGTACATGATTGTTACGGTTTCACAGCACTCCCTCTAGCTAGGGCGAACTCGACACAGGAGGCAAAGCTTTCAGTATTCCAGGAAGCCATGACACCCCACCTCCTTCTGGGCACCCTCCCCCAACGGTATTCCATTAACCGGCGACATGTCCGTGAAGACGTAAACCGCAAAAACACTATCACCAATACTGGACAGACGAACACAAACTTTTGCTCGTCGCTGTGGCTCTTCCCCTCGGGCGCCAGGCTCTAGTCTAGTCTACTCAACTAGACTATGTAGTCTAGTCTGTTGTTCTTCGAGACTTTTCAACCAGACAAGTACTGCTGTAGCAGCAAGCCCAGTGTCGAGGTGTATTTCAATGCGACCCCCTCATTACCCTCGCGGGCAGCAGATGCCAACTCTTCTTGACTGCGCGCGACGGTGTGTGCGGTGAAGGCGAGGGAAGCCCATACCCACGTACCAGGAGACTGCTGTTGTCTTGATCCTGACCGACGGCGAAGTCCGAGGATATGACACCGTCGTCCATTTTCTCCTCCATCCCTGGTGGATTCCACTGCTGTGCGTGTTGCACGATATGGCAAAAATCGAATAGCAAGAGAGCGAGGTGCTGACTGTAATATTTGGCCGTAACAATAATAGCAAGAGAGCGAGGTGCTGACTGTAATCTTTGGCCGTAACAATACCAAGGATTGGTGCCAGATCGGCAAAAGCGACGGAAGGTGCTACTGCTGTTGTACACCGCCGCCGCCGAGGAGTCGTGATCGAAGGGTTCAACTGCTGGGCGTATTGCCCTCTCGCCAACATCAAACAGCCTCCAAGTCATAATGCAAAACAAGGCGAACACTATGACGAACCTGCACCACTTGTCCGTGCTCTCCCCTCCTACGCCTCTATCCTCCGATCGAGAACAGGAGACAACACTACATCGTATCGTACACATGTGAGCATGACGATACTGCTGCAACAATCTCAAGATGTCAAGCACACCAAAAATGTGCTGTGTGAGTCCATCCCAACGGCGACGCACCGACAGAGTACCCACCTCCACACTCTGCGTGCTCTGGGTGATGCTCTTACAGCCAGGCAAGACTGCCTTGTCCCTCTCCAGCAGAGGAGGAGCTTTCGCTCAAGGGAAGCAAGTTTGACTGCGAAGGCGAGGAGTCTGGGGTAGAGTGTGTGCACAGCAGGGAAGAGCAAGTTGGAGACGGCGGCGCGCGGCGAAAGAAATCGCTTCGGCCAATTTAATTTAATCCCGCATGTGCGGGGAAATTTTTTTCCGCATTCGGCTCTAGTCTAGCTATGTTGTTGCTGACAGATTATCATCGAATAAGCGGTGTGCGTTGTAGAAGGCAGCCCTGCGTGTACAGAGGACACCACCTTGATATGTCGGCAGCACGGCTTGTTTCTCTTCTCCTCTCCCCGGGTTACCCCGACGACGACAGTCTTACTAGGTTGTACACATAGTTCAGCGTACAATTTTCAAATTTTCCTCAGGAATCGAGAAGTTCGGAACCTATTTTTCACGGGTCCCAGGTCCCTGGTCCCAGAGGGTCACGCGGTCACGATGACCAATCGCAGATCTAGAAAACCTTTCAGGCGTATTGCCACAAGCTAGACCCATTGGGACACCTTACCCGCGTACAATCACAGCGGGCCAAACACTGGACGTCATAAGTAACGTGGGTGATGATCATATACATCTATCGAGTTTCTTTGAATCATCAATCAACAGCAGCAGTTGAGAAAGGAAGTAACTCGTGTCCTCCGCGCTGCGGGTACTTTATTTGGAGTCCGCAGTGCAGTCAAACTTCTACAGACCAACCTTTCTTTGCTGATGCTATGTATGTGTACTGCATGGATCTATTACACACGCTGCGGTGTTGGCATTGAACCTCGCCGATTGATTACTGATCGTGCGTGTACGTGGGCACGTGGTTTCTGTAGATCAACGGGGCTACAACGTAATGCCGTCTGTGGCGGACCAAAAAAACGGGTCTTGAGCCGTTTGGAAAACACACCGCCGATGGCGCCGCGTCGCATTGATGCATTAACCCCTGTGCTCTCTCTCTTGCATCTCTGCATGATCCCTCCTCTTTCGTGGAGGCGTGTGACGCACCGCGTGTGCTCCACGGACTGCTAGTGTGTTGTACTGTGTGCGTATGCTGCTGATCTTTCGCCCCTAGGAGGGCTGTGAAGTGTAGGCCTGAAACAGGTTGCCTGAAAGAGCGAAAAAAATAGGGGGGGCTTTTCATAACGCGTCCCCTGTGTCATTGAGTGTGCTTCGCTATTGTCCTGGAACTCCCTGAAATCGATGGCAGCGCGGGACTGGAGCTCTCTCACTTGCTGCGGGAGCCAGCTAAAGTCACGCATCCAAGGTAAGGGAATAGAGGAACGAGAGATGAGGTAGCTATGAATCGGATCAGCGTTCATGCGGAACCTTGATCTGTTGCTTGGCTGCGCAGGGTAGTATGTGGCAAGGTCGGTGAAGCCGCGTGACGCGAGGTGCGAGCGTTGTGTACCGATTGCATGGCCTTGGGATGGCGTGCGGCTGCCAGCTGGAAAGGACGGAACGCTGGTGCTCGTGGTGCTGGCCGATAGTGTCCGGCAGTCGTCGCCGTTTGACCGCATATGGCATCAGATGCAACAAGAAAGGATTCGTCGTACGAGATGAAAAACGGCTTTGTGTTCCACTGGGTGCACCTCCTCCAGCTTACACACCCGAGCCGCCAGGCGCTACTGCTGTACTGCTGTGGACGCTGCCTGCTGGGAGCGAATTCCCGGGGTGACTCTCGACACACGTCACGAACTGCCCTGCATCGAGCTTCGGATGCTCTCGCTCCTCTCAGCGTCTTTGTGCAGCTCCCTGCCTTGTGCTCACAACCCTAGTGCTGCTGCTGCCGCTGTTGCCTCTCCCTTCACCACCGGCCATGAGCAGGTCAAACCAGCAGGCGTAACCATGCCGCACTCCTTCGGTTACCGCGCGCGCACGCGCGACATGTTCGCCCGTGACTTCGGCAAGAATGGAGTCAACGAGCTCAGCATTTACCTGAGGAAGTATAAGGTGAGGCACTTTTTGGTACTGTCTGGCATGCCTTGAATACAACCGCCTCCGTCGTACGCGCTGGCGCTGCTGCAGGTACCGTAGGGGTTGCACAAGATATCACATCCCCTGTAGCGATTGTCAAAGCTCGATGACTCCACCATGAAGAGGATGTCGATGTCAACCAACACGTTTTCGGAAAGCTCTCAAGGAGACGGTTCCAACGCCGCCGTTTTCGGCACCGTGATTGTTTGTGCTCCAGAGTATTCAGGCTTTGAAATGCGAAGTTGGGGTGTGTGATACCTCGCGCAACCTACGGAGGCAGCAGGCTGCGCATCATCCAGCAGCATCATTGCTTTCAACTTGTCACGTACGCAACGTCGACAGCACGCTCTGTATTGACGAACCGTGCTCACACAGGGTTTCGAAGCGCGTTCCGCGCCTACTTCAATATCCACGCGGTGCCAAAGCTATCCTTTTGATACGCTCGTGCCGATTTAACGGAGTTACATAATGGGTGTGTTTTGCCTACTGGCTTTGTCAGCATGTTCAGGGAGAGCCCCGGTGCCGGGGGACCGCGAAGATAGAGCGGGCAGAAGACCTCTAGGTCCCTTGTTGATGGTTATGGTGCCAATCGCCCCGAGCTCGAACTGGTGACCAGTAAGCTGATGGGTTTCATGAGACAACATTCGTAAGGCGGGGGGGGGGG